AAAATACGGAGGTTGCAAATCAAAATGCACGGAAAATATATGTTATAAAGGGATGTCTTAAAAACCCCACAGTTTAAAATAGATTTTTAAATTATATGTCGACTTTTGTCGTTATGAATAATTGAGTTTTATGGTTTCAAAACAAAATCATAGCCTCAATTTAAATAGAAACTAAACTGCAGACTTAAATCATTGTAGCTTAGAAGTATTTGTCCTCAGTGTACGAATGCAAGCAGGAAAAGAAGACGATCAATTCGATTCCCTTGAAATCGATGCATATTCGATCTCTCACATGCTTTTTTCCACCTCTTGGTTTCGCCATTTGCATGTACGGTGTTTTACAGTTGCCTGTATTTAGTCTGAAACTTCATAAAGCACAGAGAGCACACAACTTATTTTTTTGGGGAAACCTTCTAGTGAACCTTGAAAATACATTTAACAATGTTTCCTTTGCGTCCCCCTCAGCCGCCGGCGGCTGCTCTATTTCCGCTACACAGTTCCTTAAGCATCGAGGAGTTTAACAATGTAAAGTGGGAGGATTTAAGTGATTGCAATAATAATTGCATTAAAGAGGAGCCAGTTTTAAAGGCAAAGAGCAAACATCATGTACTAAGGTCTGAGACTATATTAACTCCCTTATAACCCTCTCTAATTTTCTATATTTTTCCCTTTTTCAGGCGCACTCGCAGCCTGAATGCCCCGTCGCCTGTCCAGCAATTCGGACCTTGTGGCCGCATCATGAAAAACTCCGCCATGGTCATGCAGATTCAGGATCCGGCCAGTCAGCGCCTCACTTGGTACAAGCCTCCACTCACTGTCCTGGTGATCAAGAAGGTTAGCGATGCCTCTGTGTTAGCGCCATTCGTTCAACTGGTGGACTGGCTGCTCCAGGAGAAGAACATGGTGGTGTGGGTGGAGTCAGCGGTGCTGGACGATGCCCTACTCAACGAAAATCTGCGCTTCAAGGCCATCCGAAATATGCTGGTGACCTTCAAGTGAGTTTTAATTACCTTTAACAAATAAGAAAACGGATTACTCTCTATTTCATATTATATAGAGATGGCCGGGATGACCTGACAGATCGCATCGACTTCATAGTCTGTCTTGGCGGCGACGGCACCTTGTTGTATGCATCCCTGCTCTTCCAGCAATCGGTGCCGCCAGTGATGGCCTTCCATCTAGGTTCCCTGGGCTTCCTTACACCCTTCCGATTCGACAACTTCCAGGAGCAGCTCACGAGTGTACTAGAGGGACATGCTGCCCTTACCTTGCGCAGTCGTCTGCGCTGTGTGATGCATCGCAGGGGCGAAAGGAAGCACGAGGCCAAGGTACAGGAGCTGGATCCAACAGATGCAGATGCACGACCTGTGGCCAATAGTATTCTTGTGCTAAACGAGGTGGTGATCGATCGGGGTCCCTCGCCGTATCTAAGCAACATAGACTTGTTCCTCGATGGAAAGTACATCACCTCGGTTCAGGGCGACGGCCTGATAGTATCTACGCCCACAGGCAGCACTGCCTATGCGGCAGCCGCCGGTGCCTCCATGATCCATCCCTCCGTGCCGGCCATTATGGTGACGCCCATTTGCCCGCATTCCCTGAGCTTCCGGCCCATTGTGGTGCCTGCGGGAGTGGAATTAAAGGTAAGAGATACGCGATCTGTTTTCAAGTACAAATTTGTTTATTCTCCCTTTTTGCAGATCTCTGTCTCCCCTGAAAGCCGCAACACCTCGTGGGTCAGCTTCGATGGACGCAACCGGCAGGAGCTCTTTCACGGCGACAGCCTCCGAGTGACCACCTCCATTTATCCTGTACCCTGCATCTGTGCCCAGGACCAGATATCCGATTGGTTCGCCTCCCTCGCCGACGGCCTGCACTGGAATGTACGCAAGCGACAAAAGTGCCTCGACGAGCTATCGGATCTTACGGCATCCGGATCGGAGGACACGCTGGACGAGATCGAGAATATGAAATTGTATGATGTGTAGTAGTGCGTAAGTCTCTGTTGGTAATCGTATTGGTAGCTTAGAGTAGGGCTTTTATTTCTAGTTCTTAGTTCTGTCTGCGAAAAGTCTTTTTATCTAGTTTGTAAAAGAGCTCGAATATTTGCCAAGCTTATAAGCGTTTCCAAGAAACTCTTAAAGCACAAAGAACAATATATTTTAAAGATATTAAACATCTAAATATGCGAAAATAATCTAAATTTCAGCTAGAAACTTGTCTAGCTTAAATGTTTGAATTATGTAAGCACCAAAATGTACGTGGTACCAATTAAAAATACCACTTGAATATATTGGAAAAGCTTTGCAATAATATAGGAATGTTAACTGCAATATGGCACTGTTACTACCTTAATTAAATATTACCCATTTGCTTATACAATCTTTAAGCTCTTAAACCATATTTTAAATTGCGAAATTCCAATTTTGAAATTGTTTTAAATATAATTTCACCAAGTAGAACTTTACGACTGTTTCACGCTCTTCTGTAGATTAATGCTACTTGCTTTAAACTGTTTATATATTGTATGTTAGAGAACATTGCCTTGTATATTTCGCATAAACAACACACCTTGCAATATAGATTATAGACTGTAAGTGTTTTGTATTTAGACTGGTTTTGAAGCCCCACTCCTCCCGTGGCCACTTGTTGCCTCATGTTGCTCACCTCGCGGGTGCCTTTGGATTTGGTCGCCGCTGCTGTTGCCACGCCACGCCACGCACTTGGGCCTGTCAGAAATATTAGTTTGCATCGATTTGGGTGCGAATCGAAAGTGGAGCTAAGGCTGAGGCTTCGAGACTTTGTTTGCGCCCTCAGGCGTACAAGCCGTGTTCATTACACGGCAAAGATCTTGTGCTGCCATTGTTCGTTTGCTTCGATCGTGTTTGCTGCCAATGCGAGTGTTTTTGCCTTTTTTGCTTGCCGAATTCAAGGTGTGCGCAATGTTTTTTGCGTTGTGTGTTTACCGCGCGAGTGTGCGGCCAACAGGTGTGTGTGTGTGTACGGTGCGTGCCGATCTCTGGTCGTGTGAAATGCATAAAGCCTCGCAGAGTAGTTGACGACGATCGTTGCCAGCGTTCGGTTGTGATTTTAATTGCAGTGGGAATTTAAAATCGGAAATAGTTATGAATCCAGAAGATATGCATCGGGCGCAACAAATCGTCGACGAAGAGGGCTCAACGCCCGGTAGTTCGCCAGCTCCGCTAAGAAAAGGCCTGCCGATCAGTTTGCTGGAGAAACGTACTCAGTTTCGGTAAGCAAAATTAGAAGTTTATCCTTGAATTTATATTCAAGAATTTTCCGCAGTTCTCGACTGCAATATATCATTAAGTCTTTACCACCCTTAAACTATCTTTAAGCAGTCTTGCTTATACTAATTTACAAACAATATTAGTGTGTCTCATAAGAATTCCAAATTTTATTTGTCCTAAATTAAGGCAATCTTCTTGGAATTAGTTAAAAGTTCCACGAAAAATATCCTTATTTGTTTTTTTCGTCTTGTAAGTTGCAAGATACTTTTAATATTCGCGCATTTAAGACCAGTGTGACCATGTTATGCAAATATTTGTGTTAGATGCTTGCCTGTTTATTTTCTAAAACCCGCGCGACGGCCACACTGGCGTGTAATGGTGCAAGAAAAAAAAAACAAATAACATGGACCCAATGAAACTCGCGTTTTTAAAATCGCAAATTAGCAGCTAGTCCGCGACTGTGTGAATCCGGGCAGTTGGCCAGCGTGCGAGGCAGTGCATCGCGTTTGTGGGTCAAATCTAGGCCAACACCACTCCGCTCACCCACTTCACACACACACACGCTGCTGACAGGTGCGCAGGCAGACACACACACGCTCACGGAGCAAAATTGACCACAATGACGTCCGCGTACAACAACATTTTGGCCGCCACCCCCTCGCCCGCCCAAACGGTTCCAAAGGCTAGCGGCTCGTCCTCTGCCGCCACCTCAACCTCTGGCTGCATGTCCAATGGATCCTACTACGATGACCATGACAATCAGCTGCTCCACGTAAACAGTGGACGGCAAAGCAGTGCAGCAGCATCTTCGGCCCCGGGTCCTGGCATAAATAACGGAACTGCTGGCGATGATATGGAAATGCGTTGGTGGTGGTAAGTGGTGTCGTGTTAATGGGTTAATGATTCCCACTGAAACTGGCCTATCTTAATTAGTTGTTTAAGCTTTTGTGCGATTCTTTTTGAAACGTTAACTTGTATAAATAATTCCACATTGGGTGAACATTTAAACATTATTTTTAAAGTAAAGACTGTAAAATTTAAGTTCGCAATAAACCTTTCAAAAAGGTTGAGTGACTTAAAAAAGCACTTATTTTCACTAAAATCTACATTTTTGCTATCACTTTTGTGCAAAACAATAAACGAAAAGTATCCCATTATCATTTCGTTGGCAACGGAAAATGCCGCTCTTATGCACTCTTCTCATCTTACAAGTGGCCTGCACACATGTGTTGTGTTTTCTGACAAAATTTAACGTCCTGGTAACACGTGTGACAAATGTGTATCAAAGTAGAAAAGCAGATAATCGATTTGGTTTAGTAAATAGCGAAATACACTGTGGATAATTCATTCATTGAATATTTTTATTAGCCATAAGCTGCTATTATGAGCTTAGGCTGTTATGACTCTGTTAATTAATATATAGCTTTCAGCACTGGGATTGAGTCCATAAATCAATCTTCTCTTTGTTGAGATTAATTAATTAAGCATTACAGCGTTTACATAACAGTAAGTGTGCAGAGAAACACCTGTTGATAACAGTCGCTCTCTTTTCCCCTCTCTGTTGGGATCGCGACGCGTGGCTGCGCTCAGCTGTTTACGATCAGAGATGCCCGGCAGAAAGCGACAAAAGTGGCTTTAAAAAGCCAAACGACAGCCGTTTATTGTTTACAGTCGCTTAAAGCTTGCACACTTTTATTTTTGAATCGGAATCGCACACAAATCGTCAAACTTAATCACCTTTTTGGCGTCCGGACTCAGGTATCGCTTGATCACCGAACAGCACGGTCGTGTTCGCGCTCTCTAGCCCCCCTTACTCCATCCCGTGTGCCCAACGCCGATCGCCGAGCGGTTTCGTTTTGTATCGATTCGATTCGATTCGTTCGTTCACCTGTTGCCGATCGCTGGTCAGTTTAAATTTAAAGTTAATGCCGCTGTTACAGTTACTGTCGTTGTTGCTTCTGGTGCTGGAAGTTTCGCCTTGGTTCGCGTTTTGTGCTAAAACGAAAACAAAACAGATTATATAACGTGTAATTAGAGTACTTTGTTGCCTTGCCTGTCCAGTGGCTATGCTATTGGCGCCGCTTGGCGCTTTTCCAACGCAGACATGACTTGGCATTTCTGGGGTCTGGGCCCCCAGCCCACTTTCGATTTCCTTCAATGGTCACCCTTCTAGCCTACTAGCTATCAATCCGTCAATCGCCTGCCGTGTCAAGCACTTGCACTAAACCGTGGAATTACCGTTGAATTTATTTAAGTGGAAGTAAACTATGTCTGGTCTTCTTTAACTGCCACTAATTGCAGTTGTATGTTTTAGATATCGATCGATATAAATATATAACATGTATTCCTAGTATTCTATTGCCTTTGTTTAGGTTGACTGACTCACAAAAATCCATTATATTCCGTCAATGATAAACCCAGAAAAGGGTAAATTAATTTAGTAATAAAAAATAAACATGTGTTTGAAAGGGAAAAGTGTTGTTTGTGCTAGAGTTTATCTTATTAGTTATGCCTATTAATACTTTTACTGATTTTAAACTTTGTAACACTTGTTTTCTTGCATTCCACAACTAATTAATGTGATTCTATATAATTTAGAATGAACCAACGTCACAGATCCTTCTAATCAATAGATAGACAGATAGGCAACAGATAATATAAGAAATTGAAAAACAAATGTATACAAAAAATATATAGGGGTAACCGCGTATTAAACAGAACCCTAGAATTTTTAAAAGTGTTTAATGACAATTGGAGGTTGGACCTGTACAAGTGCATACGAAACTAATAACTGCAGTTGCAACTTTAATACCTTTGACATGTTGACGAAAGGCGTCATTTGAATTATATCACTGCCAACACGGTCTCGCCAACGACATGCAGGCACGTTGCGACCAGGTGGTGGTTCCACCGATCCGTGGGTTTACTTTTCTACCCGATCCAACCAATGATAATCACTAAACTTAGTGGCTGGCTGCACTGCGCATTTCATCCGTTAATTGATTTATTCATTTGGGACTGTCGTTAATTTATTATTTCATGTGTCTTTGTGCCCATAAGTAATTTAAAATTCGCTTTATGCACTCATCTATTGTCGTAGTCCGATTGCTACGAATGTAACTAGCGATTTCCAAGGGGGTTGTGTGATGTGTGCCTTCCTTTGTTTATTTTACAGAAACATTTCCAATGACTTGTACTTGTTGCTTCCTGATGTCGGTAAAAATAGAAGACAGAGAAGCCACTGTGGATCACGCGATCGGTGGAGAGTATAGATTGTTGTTGATATTATTTTTGTTACGCAATACATTTAATTGGAATATCAATTAGAAGCCATGTAGTCAAGGTAATGAATGATAAATTGCATTATAATCTAGTGAAAGGCCTTGTGATATTAAAAGGGAATTAGTTATATCAGGGTACGTGTTTGTACTAAATTTCATTTATTGAGTTAAAGCAAGAATTTAACGTAATTTGACTTGAAATTGAAGTCTATAAATTTTACGAAATTTCGCTAGCTACATTCCTGCTGATATTTAATATTTTCCTGAATAAAAATTCGACATAGTACACCCTAATTTTTACTTCCTCTTTCTGTTAAGTTCCTCCCTCTTATCAGCCAGTCAATGAAAACACCAAGTGACCTCTGTTAATGAACTGTTGATGAGGCACTCTCGGAAAGAAACCGAAAACGATTGAGATTTTCAAGCTCATTGCGCACACAGGTCACGATTTCTAGATTAATGCCCGGCGATACTGTTATGCTCGGTTGCCTGCAGATCGTATGGTTAATTGTAGTCTAAGTGGTTGCTTTTGGCTCATTAAAAGGTTGTTGACCAACCGAGTTGGAAAGACAAAGAGATCAAGATAAAGTTGTATTTAATTGTATTTCTCTGTATAAAGTTAACTGTGTTTAGTACATCTAAGCCTTGTTTCGTGCCAATGCTTTATTTTTGCCAATTGACTTATACTTGACATCGTTAGGGGGCTCTGGCAGGCGATAAAAGTTGGCCAAGTCCGTCAACGGAAGCTGGCCAATGACGCATATTAGCAAGCCTTGTCCCGCGCCTTTCTTTCCCGCTTTGATGTCTCTTGCGTCAAAGCCGGAACTTCGCTCCGGTCCGTTAGGTTGGCCAGAAAACAAAAAGCAGCCAAAACAAACTATTTGATTGCTAATAACAAATTTATTTTTGCACAAATTTCAAAAGAAACAAAAACCGGTTGGGGTTGGCTATAAGAAAACCCAAAATTGACCGTTTTTGTTTATCAACTTTTACCACGCGCCAAAGCTGTTACCTTTTTATATCCCACCTAAAAAAAAATAAAAAAAGTGTTCGGCATTCTTTTGGTAACCCAAAACTTGGTTAACTTCGTTAACACCTCTGCCAAAGGGGAGCAAGGTTAATGTTATTTACAATTCGTTCGACTCAGGGCCGTCTCAAGGGTGGGGTCTTACGAGTCGTCCCAAAGAAATGCCAAGCAATGATATGCCAGCTAATTTCCCAACCCAATTTCAGTGTATGAAAATGTTTTAGCAATACGAATCTCTTGTGAATTGTGCGTGTTCAGTGATATTTAGTGATTAAGTGGCTATAAAAAAGAACTCAAAATGACGTGCCTCTCGGACATAGACCTGGCCACCCTGCACCAGCACCGTCTGGAGGAACGGTTTAGCTACAAGTTAGCCTGGAGCGGCACTGGTCACCATCAGACCCAGTACAATGATCTGCTGGTGCGACACATTGCCTCACTAAAGCGCCAGAGGATCATTCAAAACAAGGCTAATGTGGCCAGTACCAAGGCAAGAGATCAGAATACGGCTAACGAGAACTTGGCCAGCAGTCCGGGGAGCCAGCAGACCAAGTCCGAGGAGGAAACGGATGATGGTTACTTTGATTCCACGACACGGCGTAGACGGAGCGGAACCTGGCCGTAAGTAATTTAAACTAAACAATTGCGACTTAAACCAGAGCTTAACAAATCCCGATAAGAGCTAAACAAACCAAATGAAAACACTGGCAAAAATGGATATAGAAAGTCTGAAAATGTTGTGAAGGATCTACAAGACTTAGAGATTATTCAGAAGGTTTAAGTGGGTTTGCTTCTAAATTGTTTAATTAATTTTTTTATATTTGCTTTCTTAAAATGCAGAAAACAAATATCTCGTTCCTTTTCAATTCAAATAAATACTCATAATAAGCTTAAGGATAAAGCTAAAACAGTGCTAACTCTCTATTAATTTCTCTATGTCTAGATCAAAGTAGCAATTTGTTTGAATAGATTATAATACACATATGTAAATAATTGATTTTGTACTCAACTATTTGCCTTAGTGCGGTGGTTATCTCAAAGTTATCAGGTCGCTCACTGAACATTTGTACGCGGCATGCTCCAATGATAAGAAGTTGTGTCTGTAATCAAGTGTTTACCTTGTCTACAAGCACTTATCAGTGGTTTGGAAAGCGTGGTGTGCATTTAGGCGCACTTTGTTTACTCAGATCAGATCGGCTAATTATATACACTCGAACCCAACTTAATATCAATTTTACAACTGCTTTTCTTCTATCAGCATGATGAAGCAAACCACTTTTTTGTTTATCAAGAAATTGGGTCTTATGGTCTGTTCTTAGATTTGGGAAAAAAACTGTTTTGAAAACGCATTAAGGCAAGCTTAAAAGTCCTTGACCTTTCTGCATAGTTCAGTATTTGTGGCGTGTTGTCTTTATTTACTTATATTTTGGCCACTTAAAAACGAGTTTGTTAACACCTCGCTTATTGGTACTACGACACAGACGCCGTCTGTTAATTTATGGCTATCCGAGATGTCTGTAGGTTTTTTCTTCTCCAGCTACTACTATTTTTTACGGTTTGTTTGGAACTCGAGAACTTGAGACGCCAGTTAGGTTTGAGTTCGAAATCGGTGCCAGTTTGTGCTTGGCGCCAGTCATAAACCAAAGCCAACAGGTAGATATATTGTATATGCGCGAGTATGTTCGAGTATCTTGAATATATATATTCGATTCGGAACGAAAGCAAATTGACAGACGCTCGCTTGCTCGCTCGTGACCGATTTGGCGTGCCGAAATCCAAAGGTGTGCAGGTCAGGTGGCTGAAACCGCATTTGCATGGATAATATGGAAGGCCCCTCATTAATGCCCGAGGGAAATGGAAAATGAATCGAACTTTGGGCTTACAGAAAGTCAATGAATTAACGAATTAAAAGCACTGTCATGCTGACGTCCCTTGCATATCTTTGTCTGTCTGCGGCATTTAGTCAGTTTAGTTGGTGGCTACTTAAGTGCCAGCGGACCCTTGTCGAGCTTCCAGTTCAGTTGGTTCCCGGTGGCGATCGAGGAAGAGTGCTTGCTGGCTTAGCGGGAGCTCACTGTGAACATGTCGAGTAAGTGAATGAATGAGTCTGAATTTCCTGCGAAGTCGTTTTCATTATTATATCGAATCAATGGCGACGAGAGATCATGACCACCGCCTGTCAACACATCTTCCTGCCATGCATCAGATCCGAACAGATGCGTCATGTGGTTCCCTTTCGCCCAAGTGTTCTTTTTGCCCATGTTTTTTGTCTTTCCGTGAGTCAGTCCCACCAGATTAAGTGAACACTGAGGAACTTGTGTCGTTAAAAGTGATTAACAATGTTTTAAGAGCTACAGATAAGAAAGCAGCTAAATAGAGGCAAGAGATACTCTGTAAGAGTATCTGCATATTGAATTGGAAATTTATAAATACAAAATTTGTATGCAATTTTAACGATCTTTTTAGTCCACTCCATACAGCTGGTCAGCTGGCGGGCATACATGGCGTATACTTGACGTGAAAACCCTTAAATTAAGTACACGCCGTGTGGGTTTTAAGGGAGAATAAAGTTAAAAAGCAAGCAAGCAATATACTTATGCAGTTTGTAATTGAACTATAGGAAATCGATCATAACTAAGCTTAAAATATTTTCAATCTTTGAATCTATACTTATCAATATTTTTATATGACCATTTTTGCTACACATCAAAGTTAAAAAACTCGTAACTTAGTCAGAAGTGCCTTAATTTTTATTCGAAAAGCGCTCCTTTGTTAGTTTTTACTGGGTTAATAAATCTGCATACTCAATTTATTATTAAAAAATATTAAAAACTATAATACTCTGTGAAGGTAGAAAAATGAATGTATTATTTGTATTTGGGAATTTGTAGCTGTCTCTTAATATTGATATATGTCTTATGATATATACAATATAAAATAAAATGCTAAATATATTTCTTAAACATGTACAAATTGTATTAGTTAAGCTACAATATTAACCCCACTGTACTGCTGCTGATCCGATGTCCAATGTGGTCCTATTCAGCATAGTCTAACTTATGGCTCATTAAGCTCTGCTCTTCGTTCTTCTCCCTGTTCATCCATATCCACCTATCTCTGCTCCTCCTCTCTCTCACTCGTTCTTTCCGCACTCTCTTTGTGCCTCTTTGTGCTGAGTCATCGCACATTAGCACATCAATCAAAGCCGTTAGCAAGCGATACTTGGCACCCCCGCACCCACTCTGGCTCTCCCAACAGCAGCAGCAGCAGAGAGCTCTTTTCCGCTTCTCGGCTCTCTTGGCCAGGCAGGCGCTCTTCCTCGTCGCATCCCCCCTGGACTGCGTCTCTCGCACCATTCCGGCGGGTTAGCATGTGCAATTCCTGTTTGTTTGGACCTGAGATTCAACAAGTTTATTTGCGCTGCCGCTCCGCCACCGTCGCCACCGCCGTGTTGTTGTAATGAAAACAAAAATATAAATACGTTATATACCTTTATTTTGTGTGTTTCGATTCGACCAAATTGGCCTGTCAGTGATTTTGTAACCTTCGAACGAGCAGCAGCCGCGCTCGCAGCGAAAAATTCCAACACGTTTTCGATATTTGTGGCCAGTGTTGTGCTAGGAAAAGCCAGAAGAGAACAACAAAACTGAGCAAAAAGGGCGTGAACGTCAAAGTTTTCTTTAAAAAGGAAAATATTTACGCTTTAAACGCGAAGGAGAAGATGCAGCATCCGAAATTAAAGCTGGCAACGGCCTTGCAGCACCAAATCTCTGAGGTTGAGGAGCAACAGGTGCCCCAGGTGGCGCCCGATCCGCGTATTTTGAGGTCTATATTTAGTAATAAACATCCTGTATATCTCTCTCAAGAACCGTTTATATAAACTAAATAATAATACAATATTTACTTGACTCTTTTCAGGCGCACCAGAAGTCTGAATGCTCCGTCGCCCTTCCAGCAATTTGGACCATGTGGACGCATTATGAAAAACTCCGCCATGGTGATGCAGATTCAGGATCCGGCCAGTCAGCGCTTGACCTGGTACAAGCCACCACTTACCGTGCTGGTAATCAAGAAGAAGGACTCGCAGGTTTTGCTACCATTCGTTCAGCTAGTGGAATGGCTGGTGCAAGAGAAGCACATGGTCGTCTGGGTGGAGTCCGCCGTTCTAGAGGACAAGTTGCTGCGGGACGATGTCAAGCTGGAGGCGGAGAGCGCAAAGTTCCGGCAAGTGCATGGTGACTATGCCGGAGTAAGGGCGCGATTCCTGGCGCTGCGCGATATGCTGGTGACCTTCAAGTAAGTGCTAGAGAAAGTTATCTTTTCACATTTTATTAAAGTTCATCTATTTCCCGCAGAGATGGCCGCGATGATCTGACCGATCGCATTGACTTTATTGTCTGCCTGGGTGGCGATGGCACTTTGCTGTATGCCTCCCAGCTATTCCAACAGTCGGTGCCCCCAGTGATGGCCTTTTACCTGGGTTCGCTTGGTTTTCTTACGCCCTTCCAGTGCGACAATTTCCAAGAGCAGGTGACCAATGTGCTGGAGGGTCATGCAGCCCTCACTCTGCGCAGCCGCTTGTCTTGCTCCATCCATCGCAAGGGCGAGCGCCGCAAGGAGTCGTTGCTGGCCACGGCCAGTGGCAGCAATCTGCTCAAGCCGAATTTGCATCGGCAACTCAATCACATGGACCTCAACAATGGACCCAGTTGGTCCCTCAAGGCCAACAACAACAATACCCCCAATAACAGCATCCTAGTGCTGAACGAGGTGGTGATCAATCGAGGACCTTCGCCGTATTTGAGCAATATCGATATCTTCTTGGATGGCAAGTATATCACCTCAGTCCAGGGCGATGGCCTGATTGTATCGACGCCCACGGGGAGCACAGCGTATGCGGCAGCAGCTGGTGCCTCCATGATCCATCCCTCCGTGCCGGCTATTCTTGTGACGCCCATTTGCCCACACTCGCTGAGCTTCAGGCCAATTGTCGTTCCCGCTGGAGTGGAGTTAAAGGTGAGTAGAGGTTGGAATTTCCTTTGGGTTTGAGTGAGACTGTGAAAAGGTATAGCTTTAGTCTTCAAAGATCTTTACTTTTTAATTGAATAACTCTTTATGACTCAACCTAATTAATGTGGACATGGTCCGGAAATCGTGTAAAATGCATTAGCAGATCGATTAATCGATTATTTCTGCCTCTCCCCTTCGCAGATATCAATTTCACCTGATAGCCGCAACACCTCACGCGTTTCCTTTGACGGACGCAACGACCAGGAGCTGAATCACGGCGACAGCCTGAGAGTGACCACCTCTATATATCCCGTGCCCAGCATTTGCTCACAGGATCAAATCTCTGATTGGTTCGACTCCCTTGCCGAGGGTCTGCACTGGAATGTACGCAAGCGCCAGAAGTGCCTCGATGAACTTTCGGACCTGACTACCTCCGGTTCAGAGGACCGGCTTGACGAGTTCGACAATCTAAAGATCGAAGCGTAGTAGTGCAAGTGTGCGCCCACAACCAATCCAACCCAACTGACCCCCAATTCGCAGTTTGTTAGCGTGGCCAATTAGCCTAGTTGTAGTCCTAGTTAATAGGGTTTGCTTGTGTGCAATTTTTATAGGCCTAGTAATGTAGTGAAAATACTCTGTTGTACAATATACACACACATCATGGATCGCTTGGTTGAGTTACAATGTTAAATGTTAATTGAATGCGATCGCAATGTTTGTTTTTAAGCTAGACAAATTCCGTTGTTGCTTGTGAACAAAAACCGATTAGGCTTAGCTCTTAAGTTTCTATTATTGTATAATATCTACAATTAATCGAGTCGAGTGTGCTAAGTACTTAAGCCGTCTCGCGTTATCTGTACAATTCGATGGAGGTAATAAAAACTGTATTATTTACTTAAAGCGCCACAAAATTCAATCTGTTTGTATTTTTATTTGCATTGCTTGGCGCTATAGGCTAATAAAAATGCAATTAACTAGATAGGTAGAGTATATATTTTGAGGAAGTATCCCCTAAGACACTTAACCAGAAACGGCTGTTAAAGGCAGAGAATTAATGGCAGCCATTGGTCAATGTCCGGGAAAACCACAGCCAAGATGAATGGTGTGAAATAGAAGGACGCAAATTAATCATAAAATGATTTTCCTTTCAGGAGTTCAGCTCTAATTCATATGAATGCTGGATTAAAGTCAAATTAATCGGTAAAGTGGGTTTAATATTTGTATAACAGGCCTAAAAGTATGCCTTTCTTCCTGCTAAGATGTGAATGATTATGATATAAAGGTTGGACTGAAGACGTTCAGCCTCCTTCGACAATTGTCTAAGTGTAAAAGCCGTGCCATAAATCAAAAGCATAAAATAAAAGCTGGCAATAAATGCGACTAGAAGTGTTCTACACACCACACCCTCCCACACTGCCAGTGTGTGTACGTGCGAAGTGCGTTTATTATCAATTTTCACGCTTTTCCAGCGCCGGTTTTCCCTTGCTTTTTCTCCTCCAAATAAAGAGTGAGCAACAAGTGAAGAGCCGAGCGATTCCACAGCTTCCTTCCGCTTCGGATTCCTCTTCATCTGACTGGCGGATAAAAACGTTGCGTATTATCCGCGCCATCCGATTGGTCGTCTCTGGACACGCCTCCTTTTCGGACAGTGCGCAGGACGAGTCCGAGTCCTTTGGGCCCTTTATAGATATATTTGGTGTGTACTGCTGCCAAGTAAAATATATAGTTGAAAGCCCATTAAATTAATTTTTCTTTTATTCTTAATCCCTTGCATATGCTTTGCTCTATATTCTGACAAAATCGTATCGTATCCGGGTTAAGTATATGTTTAAGCCTAAGTAAAATAGGCGTAAGGTTAGTCAAAGCTTAAGGTTAAGGGTAAACCTATAAAAATAGCTTTATCTTGGGTTTTATTTATTGAAAATATAGATATTTCAAAGTGGTTATTATAACATCTTGGACAGGATACTCTCTAACCATCTTTACTCTAAAATGAAATTTAATTACATATAATTTTTGTGGAGTAAATCCACATCGCATTTTTCTATATTTCTTATGTCCAAAATGTATTAAAGTTTATCCTTAATTTATTTAATAATTATATAAAACAGAATATATTACAAAAAGTACAAGTTTAAATACCATTTATCCAACATCATCTTCTTTATTGTCCCTTAAAAGAATTTGTGAAGCAAAGACTTTCACTGACTATTAATAAAAGACCTCCCAAGCCTTTTCATTTCGCAGCAAATATAAAAACGCAGATAATAAATTCCAAATATTTCTGGAATTTCTTAATGAAGTCGCTGGCCCGTTGCTCGGCTAAGACAAATGCCAAGTGGAAAAGGCGAACACAACTATGCTAAGCCAAAGAAGGAGCAGGAGCTGGAGCTGAAGATGATGTGGCACGTGTTGATATTTCAATTGAATGCCACCAAATATGCGACACCAACTCAACCCCCAACTCTTAGCCGGCTGCGAGGGAAAATGGAAAATATTTCCACCACAGGCATACACTCACATGCAGCGGGTGACATTTGAACTTTGACTGGGGGTTAGATGCTCACCATCGTCATTGCTCTCGCACATTTAAATAGATTTCGCAAATGCTAATGACAGCTCCTGGATCAAGGATGGTGTGTGTAGCATTTCAAACAAAAGGAAATTAAACATTTGCGGCCGAATGAGTTTTCCGGTTTCCTTTTTTTCCTCTCTGTCTTTCTCTCTCTCTCTCTCTGTCTATCCCCGATTGTGATAAAACTTGACCACCGAGATTCTGGCCAGAGATTCTCTTTCGGAATGACCCGCATCAGTTTTTGAGCGCTAAGCCGACCGCATTTGTCATCGATTTAACCCCCAGCATATGAAGTTAAGCCGTCATATGTGGTAAATTCAATTTGTCAGGCCCTGAGTCTCACTCGAACCTTTTTAGCAGCCACCCAGCCTTTTTTAAGCCCAGCGCGTGTCCCAAAAGCATTCCTGCATTTATTGTATTATTTAATGCCATCAGTCCTGGCCGATTTCTAGTCCATTAACTTTGAAGTTATTTTGGCGTCGCCACTTTAACACTTCAATGGAACTCTCCACCTTTTTATATTTTTTATGGCTCTATTGTAGTTGATGCTGCCCCTGATGCTATTTTTCCTCGTTTTCCCCTGATTTTCCATTGAAGAATTTTACACATAGAAAGTGTTTAAAAATCAATTTGTAAGTGGCACGGTTTCGTATTGGTTTTTTGTGATTTATTTAAGGGAATTTTGTTTCTAATTTCATGTCATCAAACTATAAATATCTCCAGCTATATTAATATATTTAATTAAATGATTGTATTACTTAGTGGTACCTACATCAATTGAAGTTTACCTTTTTTAAAAGCATCTTCAAGATGGATTTTCCTAAATAAATCAAGGCCATAACTCCCCCCATTTATAACCTTTTAAGCCGGTCAATAATCTTGAGCTATTTTTATCATTAACCATGTTTTAGATTTTATTTTTCATGTCTTCAATTCTGTATGCAAATTTCAGGCACTAAACGTGATCGCGAAGCTACACAATCATCGTATAGGCTCATGTGTATATTGATTTCTGGCTTCGGTCTCTGGCCAATCTCTGTTCCCATCTTCGATTCAGTCGCGTGTCGTTTTCCAATCGCTTCGGTTCTGTATCTGTATCTTACGAGCTCCTCATCCGGTTAGTTGCATAAATTTACAACATCTCAAGCAGATTAATTGTAAGAGAGTCCATGTGTAAGCAAAGTTCACCTTGGAACATGCCATCAGGTGGTTTCAATATCGACAATACCCTGCCGGCATCGAATTTTCACCGGATATTGGCCAAATCAGTGCAACAACACGTTCGGGCCGACGTTTTCCCTTGAGGCCAATGTCCTGGGGGATATGCAGTAACACACCTGTTACACCTCCGCCTAACAAGTGAGCGTAAATTGTGACCTCGTTATGCTGCTGAACGTATGATTTACACACGTCGAGGAATAAGTTGGAGTCTTAAAAGTGACTTGAAGATGCTAATCTAAAATGGCAGAAAATGCTTTGAATATCACGGATAAGGGTAGAAAAAATATTTTAAAAGGAACTTTAAGTTAGTTAAAGTTGTCTTAAGAGTTTTTCATTTGACTGTTTTATTTTCTGGAGTTGTGTTTATTTAAATTTATTTATTTTAAAATGGCATTAACATAATAGTATTCTGCTGATATAAATTTTAATTTATCCCAAGAGGGCTTGACCGAAACCAGTTTTCAAGTTGATGGTCAAAACATTAACTTTTAAAGTGGAACTGTGTTTATTCAGCCCCACTATTTGGTTATTATTTTTGATCTTTATATTTATTATCAGTTTTAATATATCTATCTTCTATTTTAGAAATACTTTCTTTTACGGTTTTCTGTTGTGTTTTTTAATAAGAATAAAAAATATTTTTTAATTCAGCCAGAAGCTTGAAAATCAGGATGAGTCATTTCCGACCCTATAAAGTATATATACTCTTGATCAGAATTAACAGCCGAGTCTTTCTATCTATGTCCGCTCCAAATTAATTTTTTCCCAAATTTTTTTTAATATTTTATAAGGGGATACATTGTTAAAATTGTCAAAAATTCAATAAAAATTTTATTTTTTTTAAAATGTCATATTTTATATGCAGATTTGTTAACCTATTAAAAACTAGCACAAAACAGCTTTCTGAATTAAAATTAATGTTTTTTTAGCTTAGTTATTTTTTAAAACTTTTTTTAAACTTTTGTTTTGTTCAAAAAATGTTCATATAAAATTGTTTACAAATAACGAATGTTTGAAGCTTAGTAATGATTGATTTCCTTTTTGATCTTAAATGTAGGTGCTAAAATTGTTTTTTAACTGGAAATACTTATCTTTATACATATTTAAACTATTCTCCCTTACAACACATGGCGTATACTTAGTTCAAGGGTTTTTACGTTAAGTATACGCCACATGCAGATTTATCTTTCCGGGTATGATAGTTTATTCAGAAGCTTGTTATATATTCTTTTAATCAGCATCAAAGTCCGAATCGATCTAGCTTGGTCCAGTCCAAATTAAAATCTTTCAAAATTTTCGAAATTTTATAAGATTTGTTAACCTAATAAAAACTAACACTGGAAAGCTATCCGAATTGAAATTAATGTATTTTTGGCATATTTATGGAGATTTCCATGATCAAATTGCTAAGGTATACAAACTTATGTTTCACGAAATAATCTTTTTTTAATCTTCTTGTTAAAAATCGAGTAGATGTCTAGAGAAGTTACTTACTTCCTCTTTAAATTAATCAATATAGTATAAATCCGTTTATAATAAATATATTAATAAAATCTCAATAAAAAAATACGAAGAGTACATGCTCTTTAAAATAAAAAGTTCCAATTTCGTTGGCCTTAAGACAGCCCTAAAATCGACTTTCCCTAAAATTATATAAAAACCACTGAAGATGTCCTTTCTTTCAGTCCCTGTTCCCGTTCCCGTTTATCGTTCCCTTTCACCGTTTGTCCCTTAAAATTGATTTGCCACTTAGGAAGCGAAACGAAAATCAATTAGGCATAATATATGTGTGCCTTCGCTGTGTGTGTGTGTGTGTCGAGGGCAACCCCAAAACGCGTTGCATACTTACAGGCGTAACGCAATTGACAGTGAAAATAAAATCAAACAGCACACACACATACACACTTACGTTTACATAGAGAGCCAACACAATGAAGGCAATTGAGCAGAATCATGGCCGTTGGCAGTTTCCATCAATATGCCAGGAAGGAAAGCGAGGTATGGGGGGGGGTGTGAGGATGAGAAAGTGTGAGAATGAGAGAGTGTGAGAACGGAGGAGCAAACGAAGGGCAGAATGACAGAACGGATAACGGGAATGTTCTGC